TCTGTAGGCTACATAATGTGTGCTAGCAGGCAAAATGGAAGTTGCAAGATCAGGGGTCTTGTCTCTGAAAATCGTAGATGTGCTGGTTTGATTATGGTTGATAACTTCAAGCATTTTTGTTTCTTCTGACCCATGATAAGTACGTTTCTCATTTATGTGAATCTTAGGTGGGAGTTAATTCAGAGAATTCATGTGTCTGAAATCTAGGGGTACTTGCACCCCGGAAGGAGAGATATAGCAACAAGAGACTGGTTCCTTTTGACAAATAGTTAAACTGGCTTGACTTACCACTGAGAAAGCTGTAGGTGCTGTTAGTTGTAGGATGTTTTCATCAGAGCTCTTTCAGAATAAGAGGGATGGAAATATAAGCTCCAGCGAAAACACCGACGGAAGGAACGTGGAAATAATAATTAAAAACCACCCCAAGTTCCCAGGGCTCCTTATGAGTCAGTCTTGGTGGTAACTTTTCTTTTCCTTACCTGTTGATGTGACTGTCCCTTTATGCACCAAATCATGCTCTTCTGTGTTCTCCTGTCTGGCAGCACAGCAAAGTAGTCATTCAGGTTTAAGTGATGACATGCCAGGCACTGTCTTGGTCATCTCAGCGCTGTCCCTTCAGGTCCTTTTGCCTTGTTATCTATCTCTCTGTGCCAATTGTTTCTGTCATCGGTGTTACCTCGTCACTTCTCTGCTGTATCTGAACAGCAACAAATCAGAATTTTTTGCTGTTCTGTTTGTTTCCATGTCCCCCTATCCCCTTGTATCATCACTCTGAGGTTCTCTGCCCTCATCCTGGGCTCTGCTATGCTATGTTTCTCTGGCTGGCTGATTTTAAGAATGTTGCCTTATTGCCTCAGTGTTATTAAGTGAAAAATGAACATGCAGGAAGGGAAGAGTTCCATCAGGTTGCTTCAGTGGCTGATGCTGTTAAAGTTGCTTGTAATGTTTAGACACTTGCTACCCATGTCTTCTCTTCAGAGAGTTATCCAGAACCAAAAGCAATTTAATGGGACTAAGGAAGTCTAAGTTTAGAGAAGAATGCTTGTAGGTGGCTGTAAAAAAAAAAAACAAAACAAAAACCAAACTTGTAGTACTGTGCAACTAACTTGTTTACATAGCCCAGCAAAAGTATTGAAAAAGTTCACATGCAGTAGAGGATGTTTGTCAGTTTAAAATGTGCAGCTGTGCATGGTTCCCAGTGATGCCTTCAGCATCCTATTCTGGAGCCTGAAGATCAAAGGCAACAGTGATAGGGCTTGGCAGTCATCTATTAGCTGATAAGGCTTTGTGAGCAAGTCCTTTAAATTTGTAAAATAGAGGTAACAAAGTTATGCAGACCTTTACTGCACAGTGTAATGGCCTTGACTAAGCAAATAATGGGTCACATAATGCCCAGACATGTAGTGGCAAAGTCAGTAACCTAACTGGCTGCAAACATGTTTTTTTTCCATCCAGCAGGACAGGGCAACAGCAAGATGCTTGATACAGTGGTCCCCAAATAGCTCATCAAATCTGATTAGTCACAAGACACTATTTTAATTAAACCCTCTTTGGAATGGAGGTGATGAAATGTGGTTGGCAGCCTGTCCTAGCGTCACTGTGTGCAGTGCTTAGCAATTCTGTTTGCTGACTGTGCTGCAATAATGGTATCTTTGTGAGTGCATGCTCATAGTGCATCAGGAAGAGCTAGTGTGATAAAAACTCAAATGCTACCTGAATCTAAAGTGTGACTGTCTCTGTGGAAATACTAAATTCATTATTAGCTTGCTGTTGATATGCCTTAGCTAATTCTCTAATTAAAGTAAGGTGTTGCATATGGCAGAGGAATCCATTTTCCTATTGCACATTGAAGGATTTTACTGCAGGATTGTCAACAAATTGACACTGAGAATACATCCAAGGCTTTATGCACCTCCATGTTGATATACTGCTGTGAAATTCCCTGAGTGCTAGATATGCATGTCTTTGGTTCTGTGGGATTTGTGTGCATTGCTACTAATATCCCTGGAGTAAATGGATTGTATCACAGTTAACTTGGCATTCAATTACCTGAGATCAGTGTGTGAGGTGGTAACTTAGTATGTCCTTGCAGCAGCCTGATGGAGAGGGAATAATATAAATTAACATTCTAAAAATGTTGTCTTTGAGTTTTCTTTTCACTGTCCTTTAGGTACAGTCTGGAGTAAGCTGCTTCTGGTGAATGGGGCAGACAGTGTAAACCCTATTGCCTGCAGATAACTGGTGCTACATTGAAAAGACTACTTTGTCAACTCAAATTGCCAAAATGAGGAGGTTACTTCCTCTCATCAGAAGTTCTGAAATCTTACAGAAAAGGATCACTTGCTTTTCATTCTGTGAAATGTGTAGAGGCCTTCTCCCTGATTCAGCTCCACTGTAATAGTAGTGGATGATTGGGAGCACATTCTTGCAGGCAGTGCTGGTGACATACAGAAGATTGGTGAGATTAAGACTGCATGATTTCACACGTGGCCTGGCTTGTTCAATAATAACAAATCAAGTTGATGTCTTAATTGCTGATCTCATGCAGAGGAGCTAGTAATGTAGCAGCTTTTCTGATTGTGTGATTTGGGTCTGAAAGGTGTAGCCTTTTTCATGTACTGCAGTATGGTCTCCTCCTCTGCAGCACTGGGGCTGGTATAGCCCATTCAGCTCCAGTAGTTGACACACAACTATACTGAGTGGTCCTGTAGCTTTGCCCTGGAGAGCCTTCCTGAGGTAGCAGGCTTGGCAGTGTTTCACCTCCTCTTTGAAGGCTCAGAGTTTTGTTTATTTCTGAGAAGTTGTCATCTAGTGTCAAAAACAATTCTCTAGCTTAATGGGGTAGTTTTGGATATAATACCAATGTTGAGAGAGATGGTGAGATGTGCTAACAAGCATAAAATCGTAGAATGTTTTTTATTGGAAGGGACCTTAAAGATCATCCAGTTCCAACCACCTGCCATGGGCAGGGACACTTTCCACCGACTGGGTTGCTCCAACCTCTCTCCAGCCTGGCCTTGAACACTGCCAGGGATGGGGCAGCCACAGCTTCTCTGGGCACCCTATACCAGCACCTCACCACCCTCACAGGGAAGAGCTTCTGCCTAATATCTCGGTCTCCCCTGTGTCAGTTCAAAGTCATTCCCCCTTGTCCTATCATTACATGCTCTTGTAAAAAAAGCCCCTCTCCAGGTTTCTTGAAGCCTCCTTTAGGTATTGGAAGTCTGTTACAAGGTCCCCCCCGATCCTTCTCTTCTCCAGGCTGAACAAGCCCAGCTCCCTCAGCAGAGGTGCTGCAGCCCTCAGGGCATCTTCATGGTCTCCTCTGGACTTGCTCAAGCAGGTCCACATCCCTCTAGTGTTGGGGCTCCAGACCTGGCTGCAGGACTGCAGGGGTTGTCATGAGAGTGGAGCAGAGGGAGAATCACCTCCCTTGACCTGTTGATCACACTCCTTTTGATGCAGTACAGCACAGGATTGGCAAATTGGGCTTCAAGCGCACACTGCCACCTCATGACGCGCTTCCCAAAGAACCTGATAAACATTGAATGACTAACAGGTTTTATGTGCAAGGTATGCCTGGAGTTGCCCAGCATGACTCACTTCCCCATCGCCTAGCATCTGCTCATCGTGTTTTATTAATTCTGTTGCACCCAGGTAACCTTCTACATAGAGCTTTGGCTTTGGCTATATGTTGAGTTCCTGTAACCAGTAGGGTTGGTGTACATAATTGATTTTCATCTAGTATTGAAAGGGACCTCTGCAGAGCAAAATGTAATTTCCTGAGGTACTTGAAACTAGCTCTTCTTGACCCCAATTATGTCTTCAGCTACCAGGAGGAATAGCTAAACTGTCTCTGTAATCCTCACCTTAGGAAACCCTTCCTATATGTTAACATTTACAGTTGTAATCTGCAGTGAAAACAGTGAGGCTGAGAGTTAAACCTTGACTGAGGAATGATGGTGTGAATGTTAGATCTGATTAGAGTTGTGCTTTGAGTGCTGCCTGCTGCAGTGGGGCTGTACCAGGTAACTTCATGGTTTTGAAGAACGGCTCTTGGGCATTTCCATCTGTGAGCTGGAGGACTTCAGGAACAAAGGGCAACTCTGATTCTGTGTCATGCATAAATTCAAAGGAGGCCTTACAAATTCAGCTATTTGAAGAATTATGCTCTGGTGTCTAGAGATTGTACTTCTAATCTGGAAAAAGAATCCCGGTATGTTGTTGAACACCATAAGCATCCTTGAGCACGGTTTTAACTGAAAACTAATGAGACAACTGTCTTAACTCTTTCTCAGCACAGGCCTGCTCTGTTGTAAAAGCTGGCTGGGCATTTCTGTGTTTTAACATCTTGGCCATGTAGGACTAGCATCCAAACTTTAAAAGTTGTTAGTAGAATTCTGTGGGCAGTGGATGAGGACAGTTGTTAGCATTATTTCCTTGTGTGTATCTGAAAATATCTCAATTTATTGTATACCTTTTGTTACCTGTGCGTTACCCAGTGTGTCTAGGCAAGTGCCACACTGGCTAACTGACTGCGTAGCCAATATGATAGTATCCCTTTACTAGAGCAGCAAGGATTAAACTGAAGAGGATCAGTGTGGTATTTCCAGTAGGAAGGGCTATTCTTAATGCCAGGTAGGCAGGGTGTGCTACACAGGGCTGGAACGGAATGGTCTTTGAGCACTGTGATCTGGAACTCTGTCTTCCTGATCATCCGCGGCTGCTGCTTGGCTGGTTTTATTGGCTTTTTGTGTGGTTTGGGTTTTTTTCCTTCATTTTGCTATTTAGATTGTCAGACCTTGGGCTAAGTTATGTCTGATCAGTCAGTTCTCCAAGCTATAAAATAAATTTATCTTGCAAACAGGATAAACAGCAAGTGCCATAACAAGTCCCATAATCCAGAGATAAGATGCTGTAGAACTGTGTAGGCTTATGCTGTGCTACATGTGTGAAGTTGTTAAAGCTGTTTTAAAATTTTTTTTTTTCTTTTTTTTTAGGTTCTAAATGGCTTCTAAGAAGTTGGGCTCCGACTCTCATGGTAAGTGAAACTTGACATCCTTGTCTTTCCAACAGGATGAATCCTGCTACTGCTGCTGACTAATGTCCCCGCCTGGACAGTCCATAGAGACTAATCTGTTTAGCCTCTGAGTAGTTTTTTGTTAGGAACTAAGTGCCTTCCTTCTTGCATAGTTGCTTCCTGATGCCTGTTCTGGTTAAACTGAAATTCATCTTGTGGCTGTTCCCCACTCCTTCGTGGCGGAATGATACCTTCTTCTCCCCACGCTTAACCCCTTCAAAATCAAAGCTGCACTGCAGTTGTGTTCCTTGTCTCATGGCTGCACTGCAGTTGTGTTACTTGTCTCATGTTTGTTGAAGTTGACAGTAGATCTGTAGCTCCTTTCTGTGGAAGTCACATGAAAAGTTGTGACTTTGAAAGTGAAGCATTTAATATATCATTGAGCTCTGCTTGCTTTTTGCTCAGCAGTATTGTTTTTTTTTTTCTTTTTCCTAAATTGGACTAATCTCATTCAGCTACATTCTAAATTTGAGATGTGTAATGTCATGCAGATGATTGGTATCATAATTATTTGTCTCTGTATGTGCTGATCTTTTAGAAAATGGGATATAATTTGAGAGGATTAATATTTCTGTGGAACATTCAAGTTCAATTTGTACGTAAAGTAGCTTCTTCAAATCAGTAATCATTCAAGCTGGTACTGCAACATTCATGTGAAATTTCCAACATGATTTTTCATCCTATAAAAAGTTCTGGTTTTAGAAAGTCAGCCTTCATCTTCCTGGATAATCTTGCAGATAAGAGAGTCCGAGGGAACTCAGTTTATTCCTTGTGCTTTATACGCAGTCCTGCTAGTGTGAAGTGACTTACTATGTCTGAAGAAAACAGCAGGGCGATTGTTTCAGTCTTCTCCAGGGTTGTTTAAGAATTAATCCCACTAAGTGAATTTTGGCTTACTGTAAAACATCTAGCCCAACACCTTCCTTTAGCTTGCTGATTCTGAGAGACTGGTGAAGTTGCACAACATAGCTGATTCACGTCTTGTATTTATTGTTGAGCTGCTTATTAGAGGTTAGAGGACTGCTATTGGATCACAGAATGGTTGGAAGGGACCTCTGGAGAGCAGAGTGACCAAACCCCTTCCTCAAGCAGAGCCACATAGAGCATGCTTCTCAGCACCATGTTCACGTGAGGTTGAGAACATAAGGAATGGGTGGAGAGAAGGGAACCCTTTTCCTGTCTCGAAGAGTATTCTTAGCACACACCTGTAACTATGCCTAACCATATAACTTCAGATGCTCTCCTGTCATTTGAATAATTGGAAGTTCAAGCTTAAGTTCTGGTAATTAGTAGCATCTAGAAATGCATCTCTCATCTGTTGCACAGAAAGTGTGGGTTGTAGAGGGACATTAACATTGCTGTTGTATTGTCACTGTTGTTACACAACTTGAGAGCTTTTAACTCCTATTTCTGAAAATTACAGAAATTTGGTTTGTGTGACCACAAAACCAGTTTTACTTGTTTTCAGAACTGTTCCCTATTGGTAGCTGGTAACTGGTTTTACCTGAAATGTTTCAATTTTGCTACCAAACTGGAAGATGCTTCTTTGAGTTGGTCAGCATCTTCTGCATTGTACTAAAGTGGAGGGAAATCTTACTCTTGTAGTTAATTCCTTGGGCAGAATATCATATAGTGTGCATTGTCAGAAACTAGACTGACAGATACCAGTTTTGCCAGGGCTGTTTTCAGAACATCCTGCTTTTAACTGCAAAAAGGATGAAGTGGCTGACCACCATATTAAATAACAGTTCAAAAACGTGTTTAATTGCTTCATTTGGACTACTGAAACAGTGGCTTGCATAATACTTTCTATATATAGGTTTTCCTTATTGCTTTAGAATTTGCCATTCATATCAGTTTCTACCCTTACCCATCTGTGTTTAGGCAGAAGGTTCATCTGTTTACAAACACAAAAGGGTTCTTGGCTTTCTGGATCAGATTTTAACTTCCCTAGACTAGTACTGTTCTGATTCAGCTGGAACAAAGTGAATACTATGTGCTTGTGGTTTTTGTAGCAGAGTTATATTCAAGATGAGGTTATAGCAATAGTGACTATTAAAAAAAACCAGTATACTGGGAAGACACTGGGAAGGTTTTTATTCCTCGGTCCAGCTTCTGAGGTTATACTGGCAGCCCATCTAATCTTCATGTGTTCAGCTTTTTACTACACCAAAACAAAGTGTTGCTGTGTAAATACCACACAGTGTATGCCTGTACCTTCTGTGGCTAGTATCTATTTCAGGCAGTGGTGCAGTGAGAGGTGCCTACCACTTGCAGTGTCAGTAGGTCTAGTAAGACAAGTGTTTGCACACTGAGCAATTTAGGCTGTGAGACTGATGCAGAGAGTAATCCTGGATCATCACTTGGATCATCCTCTGGCACAAGTCCTGATCTCTGCAGGACTAAGCAAGTCATAGCAGCAGTCACACCTCACCAAGGAGTTAGGAGATCTGGTTGCTGTCTCTGACCTGGCCATGACTTGCCAGTCTCAGTGCAAAGGCTGCCACAGTTGCTGTTTCTGCATAAGAAAACACTTTGGCATATCCAGGTTCTCAAATTGTCAGCTCAAATGCAATTTGAATGCTATGTGGCAGGTAGTGGTGTTGGTGGCCAGTGAGGTGCCATCTGGATGTTGTGCTGTGAAATGCTTGAATGTGTGCGTCTCAGTAATGATCAGTGAAAACAGTGTTATATTCTGCCTGGAGCACTTTTGCATGCTAGTTTTGCAGGTGGGATATAGGTTATTCAGCCTGATTGTTTCAAAGCTGAAGGAAATGCCACCTGTGAACTAACAGGACTCTGGGAACAGCCAGTGCAGTGCATAGTATGGGAGCTCAAGTGATGACAGCACATAAACATTTAACTCCAAATTAACAGGATGTTCCTGTTTTCAAAAGCTGTTTGTCCTTTCTGAGCCTGTGGCTGCCTTGTTGTAGATGAGTCAACAGCAAGGGAACACAAACAGTACTTACTGTCATCTGAGTATGAAAATGGGTCAGATAAAAATGGCAAGTCACAGCTCACTGAGCTAGAGTTTAGTCACTGAAAACCATCTTAGATGATGCCACTAATGTCTTTTTGGATCTGCAGCAAAGTGAAGTCACAGACAGTGCTGAAGACATGTTTCAGATTGTTCTACATAGCCAGAAACCTTACCTGTAATTCCAGAATCTTAGACAAGTGATCCAAGAGACCCCCTTTAGTTAACTGAAAAACTAAGCGCAACTAATATTGTGGGCTTTCTGCTACTTCTGCACAGCAGCTCAAGGAAAACACACCTAAAGTTTGGCTTCTTCTGTGCCCAGGCAGCCAAGAAGGCCAACAGCATCCTGGCCTGTATCTGCAATAGTGTGGCAGCAGGGCCAGGACTGCACTGGGCACTGGTGAGGCTGCGCCTCGAATCCTGTGTTCAGTTCTGGGCCCCTCACTACAAGAGAGACATTGAGGTGCTGGAATGGGGCCAGAGGAGGGCAACAGAACTGGTACAAGGCCTGGAGCACAAGTGTGGTGGGGAACGGCTGAGGGACCTGGGGATGTTTAGTATGGAGAAGAGAAGACTCAGGGAGACCTTATCACTCTCTACAACTGCCTGACGGGAGGATGGAGTGAAGTGGGGTTTCTTCTCCCAAGTACAAGTGATAGGATAGGAGGAAATGACCTCAAGCTGTGCCAGGAGAGGTTTACATTGGATATTGGAAAATATTTGTTCACAGAGAGAGTGCTTTGTGATGCACAGAGAGAGTGCAACAGGCTGCCCAGGGCGGTGGTGGAGTCGCCGTCCCTGGAGCTGTTCACAAACCATGTAGATGAACCTGTCAGTGACATGGTTTAGTGGTGGACTTGGCAAAGCTGGGCTAATGGTTGGACTTGATGATCTTAAAGGTCTTTTCCAACCTAGTTGACTCTATGATTCTATGATTCTTGGAGGTAGTTAAGCTCTTAAGTGACTCTGCCTCATGGTTTTGCCGGGTGCCTAAAAGTTTAATCCTAAAACGCTGTTGAAATACCAGGTGTAAGTGACAAAGGACAAATGGAGGACCATGAAATAAGTCTGAAGCTTCTCTTTGGAGTGACCAGAAATCAGATAGCTGATTAAATTAGATTGCCTTGTTTCAAAAATCAGAACTGCTTTGCTAAATAGTCTTGAGATATTTCTGTGTTTTGGTTAAAGTGGGGTGTCTAGACTTTGGGCCACTTTGCCCTTGTGACCACTTCTGTCCAAATATTACTTCCCATGTATATGTCAAAACCTGGATTTTAGTTTGTCATAGCTGCTCTAAAACTGGGTCATTTTGAAGCCTCTTGAACACGACAAAAAGTGATCGGTCTTTTTATAGACACATAGCAGAATTCAGGAGAATTTCAGCTTTCAGTTGTGGGAACATAGTCTTTTCACAAGGGGATCTAAGAAGTTTGGTACATTAAGTTCAAAATCTGTTCCAATTGTTGGATTGTTAGGTTGTGTGTTTCTTTTTTTGTTTGTATTTTTAAATAATTGCAGGGTAGAACATTAAAAAAAAACCAAAACCAAACAAAAAACACCCCCAAAAAACCCAAACAAAACCACAACCCCAAAACTGAAGCACCAAAACTGAGGCAGTGAAGTCCAAATAGATTCAGTGTGTATCTGATCAAGCAACTCCCTTTGTACTGAGTCATCTGGTGTAGCTGGGGCAGCAGAGATAAAAGATCTCCCAAATATAGAAATGTGAGTCTTAATTGAATGCATTAAACTCCTAAGACAATTTCTGATTTTGATCCCAGGGCCCTTCAGTTATCTCGATGATGTTCCATTTAAGATAGGAGACAAATTCAAAACCCCAGCGAAGGTTGGATTGCCCATTGGTTTCTGCCTGCCTGATTCTTCTCAGCTTGTCAGAGAAGCCCAGGTAAGTGATGTGTTTTGCCTTTCTGTTCCCTTACCCTGGCCTGCAGCATGTGTTGCAGGTAGTCAGTTTGCACATGTATCCAAATGTTAATCTTGTTGGTCCTGTAGTGTCATTTTGTGCACCAGGCTGTAGTTGTAGAAGATCTATCAGAATGATAGACAAAAATACGGTAGGTGGTGCAAAAAGCTGCTTCTCACCGCTTTAAAAAAAACTAATAGCGCTTATTTCAGTATATCTACCAAAAAGCACAGTGTGTTATAGTTACTAGTCTAGATGTTACCCTGACTACTTTTGAATAGCATGTTTAAGAGGAAAACCAGAAAAACCTGATACACCCATGCTATGGCACACTTGCAGAACCTTGCTTAAGGGTAACAAGTGTTTTTATGACTGTACTTTATGGGTTCTCATGATACTGTGATGAAGAAATAAATTTCCAGTTCCTGGTTTCTGTGCCATTCTGAGTGAGAATCCTTTTCCAGCTGTAGGGCAAACAGGGTGCATCTTGGTATAGATGGTTTCCAGATCTTTGAAGATCACATCTCTTTTAGCATAAAACTGATTGCTTTAGCATAACTGTTGAAAATCTAATCTTCAGATGCAGGTTGTGATACATGAAACATAATTGAACTGTGTTTTCTCATTTTAATCCATGACTTTCCTTGGTCAGTCCCAACTGACGATTGTTTTCACTTCAGCTGTGAGAGATTGCAGGAGATGTTCTGCTTTTTTTTTTTTTGCCTTTTTTTCCTGCCCCACATATTACCCTAGTGCCATACATCATGGCTTTTTCATTATAACCATTAAATGATTGATTTTCATTATAACCATTAAATGGTTGGTTAAGACCTGATTGTCTTAAGACACCTATTTCCACCCAGGTAAGCCAATGTGGGAGAGCTAAAGGAGACTTTAATGTCCTGTTTCTGGCTTCATTGTGCTGTCTCCATTTTCCTGCCAAGCTGAGGGTCAAGTATATGTGCCCAATTGGACTGCAACACCTTCATTAACATCATGTCATGATGTAGACTGTGCGTTTTGCAGTGCAGTTTGACTTTTTTTTGACTGTCACTACAGCTGTAAAACACCCCAAAGTACAGGGAAGCACAATTAACCAAAGCCATATATATTTATATAACTATCCCCCATTTCCTTATTATAAAAAAATACATGGCTTGGGTCAATTTTGGCTATATATGGCCACATATACAGAGAAAACTGTGATAACTCTGCTCAGATAGAATCATAGAATCATAGAAGTAAATGTAGGAAGGAAGCAAAATATATTTTCATCCAGACTATAGCCAGGTTTTGCTGCTAGAGGCAAAACAAAGTACTTCAGGCATCTTCTAGCTTTGCCAGTCTGTAGTTGACAAGAGATGCTGAGTAAAAAAAAATGATGCGGAATTGGGGTTGTTGGTTGATGAGAAACTGAACACAAGCATGCTTCAGTGTGCACTCACAGCCCAGAAACCAACCGTATCCTGGGCTGCATCAAGAGGAACGTGACCAGCAGGTCTAAGGAGGTGATCCTGCCCCTCTACTCTGCTCTCGTGAGACCTCACTTGGAGTATTGTGTGCAGTTCTGGTGTCCTCAACATAAAAAGGACATGGAACTGTTGGAACAAGTCCACAGGAGGCCACGAGGATGATCAGGGGACTGGAGCACCTCCCGTATGAAGGCAGGCTGAGAAAGCTGCAGCCATTCATTCTGAAGAAAAGCTGTGTGGAGACCTCATAGCAGCCTTCCAGTATCTGAAGGGGGCCTACAGGGGTGCTGGGGAGAGGGACTCTTCATTAGGGACTGTAGTGATAGGACAAGGGTAATTGGTTAAAACTTAAACAGGGGAAGTTTAGATTGGATATAAGGAAGAAGTTCTTTACTGTGAGGGTGGTGAGGCACTGGCATGGGTTGCCCAGGGAAGTTGTGACTGCTTCATCCTTGGTGGTGTTCAAGGCCAGGTTGGACAGAGCCTTGGGCAACATGGTTTAGTGCAAGGTATCCTTGCCCATGGCAGGGGGTTGGAACTAGATGATCTTAAGATCCTTTCCAACCTAAAGCATTCTATGATTCTATGCCTGTCCATGGTAATTCATGCAGCTCATACTCTTTGTTACTTTTGTTGCTATTGGACATAATAGCTGTGATCCTTGTAACTTTTTCTTTTTTTTTTTTCTCCTTTCCCCTCCACCCTTGGTCAGTATGACTTCTCACTGGAAAAGAAAACAATTGAGTGGTCTGAAGACATCAGAAAAATCCAAGCTGCCCAGAGGGAAGCTGAACGCAAGGCAGAAGCAGAAGAACTAGCAAGCTCAAAATCAGCTCCGGAGGACAGCAACAAGATGGGATTCTCAGAGGGACCTTGCCCTGAGGCCATGCCTCCTCCTATCAACCCAGTCCTTGCTAGCCTGCAGCACAATAATATCCTTACTCCCACGCCAGCCAACAGCAGTGCTGTGAAGCAGAAGGTTCTCAGTCCACCTCGTCCAAAAGCAGACTTCAACCCAGCTGATTTCGAATGTGAAGAAGACCCATTTGATAAACTGGAATTAAAAACTATCGATGATAAGGAGGAATTAAAAAATATTCTTGAAATTCATGTTGGTACTACTGGGCCAATTGTTGCCCAGCTGTTAGATAACACCTTGCCCAAAGGAGGGTCTGAGTCTGTACTGCAAGATGAGGAAGTTCTGGCATCCATAGAAAGGGCCACGCTGGACTTCAAGCCCCTTCACAAACCCAATGGCTTTATCACTTTACCGCAGTTGGGAAACTGTGAAAAGATGTCCTTGTCTTCCAAAGTGTCCCTGTCCCCAATCACTTCAGTGAGCAATATAAAATCCCTGTCCTTTCCTAAACTTGACTCCGATGAGAATGATCAGAAATCATCAAAGCTCACAAGCACTTTCCATAGCACTACCTGTCTCCGCAATGGCACTTTGCTCAGCTCTTTGCAGACCTGTGCTCAGAGCAAAGCTAGTGAACTGAATGGACACCACATGGTTGGTTTTTCTGCTCTAAATGAGGACAGTGGCATGGAGACATCAGCGTTATCCTCTTCATCCAGGCTGCCTTCCCTGGCTGTGTCGACAGTTTGTACAGAAGAAGAACCACCTCAAAGCACAGCGACTACGGTAAAGATGGATTAGAATTGGGGTTGATGGGAAGATGTGGAGGTGTGGAGGCAAATGTTGCTTCTGAAATGTCTAGTGCCTTTGCTTTTAGTTCATTAAATGGGAGTGATGTGTAGGTCCTCTTTATTCACACAACAAATTGATCAGTCCAATAGGCCTTCATGCTTGTAGTTCTGAACATCAGATTATTGCTCTGCAGGTTTCCCCAAAATATGGTATTTTTAGACCACTTCTGGCTGGCAATTTTCAGCTTTCCAGCTCTCTCTGTTCATAGCTTCACACCTTTGAGTAAAGCACGTAAGATACCTTCTTTGAACAGCTCTGCTTTCTGTCTTACCCAGCTGAAATATATCATATTCTGAAGTGCTGTTAGGTTTTGAGTCAAGTATTTTCTAGGTTTGTTCCCTGGCTTGCTTATTTATTTGCTAGAAACAGTTGGAAATGCAGGCTTTTCAGGCAAGGCAAGTAATACATTAAAACACCACAGATGTGTTGTTTCGTTCAGCAAAGAAAAAAGTGCAGTTGACGTGCAGTGAAATAAACGTCTTTTTAAATTTTATTTAATTTCTTCCCCAGATCTTTTCAAATATAATCTTTAAAAGGAAGAAAATGATGGGTGAAATCTGGTATTGACCCCTTTTCTTGTGAAGGAGGGTGGAATGATTGCTTGGCGGATGCCAAAAGCAGTCCTGAAGGTCACCTCAGATTGCTCTAGTTAGTTGGTTGCCCTGTGGCTCTGAGACGGAGGTTGATCCTTCATTTCCTGTGAAACCTGTAGAAAGTTCTAAAATGACTTTGAGGACACTTAACTTCACATCAGTCATTCTCTTTGTCTCTTTGTGAGTAAGTGCAGAGATTTGGGTAAGCTTGTGAGCTCTTTTCCTGAAAAAAACTGAGATCTGGACACCAGTGTCATGAAGCCTAGTGAAAGCTTTGTAGCCAAATCCTCTAGCTGGCTCCATACTAACCTGGTTCCTTCTGTCCAGTCTAAGCAGTGCTTCACTGGTTCTGTGGCCTTACCGGCATGCTGTAAGTTTTTGTGTGACACCATGTGCTCTAAAGCAAGTGACACCACTTCTCTCCCATTGTTCTTTCACCTCTTTCAGGCTTAGATAAATGCAGTACTAATGGTGAAATACAGTATTCTGGCAACTAGTGTATTTGTCAGAGCACAGCAGAATAGCTCTTTACTGACGACTAGAGCAAATTTAATACAGTGAACTCTGTCAGACGCAGCAATGTGCTGAGCAAGTGCTTGCTGCTGTAGATCACAGGTTGGAGAGGTGGTTGTATGACTGTAGCTCAAAGGGGCTGCCACGGGCAGGGACACCTTCCACTAGAGCAGGTTGCTTCAAGCCCTGTCCAACCTGAACACTGTCAGGGGTAGGGCAGCCACAGCTTCTCTGGGCAACCTCTGCCAGAGCCTCAGCACCCTCATAGGGAAGAATTTCTTCTTAATACCTGATCTGAGTCACTCCTGTGTCAGGTTAAAGCCGTTCTGCCTTGTCCTGTCCCTACATGCCCTTGTAATAAATCCCTCTCCGGGTTTCTTATAGCCACCTTTAGGTACTGGAAGCTGTTCTGATGTCTCCCCAGAGCCTTCTGTTCTACAGGCTGAACAAGCCCAGCTCTCTCAGCCTGTCTCCAGAGCAGAGGTGCTCCAGTCCTTGCAGCATCTTCATGGCCTCCTCTGGCCTCAGTTATGCAGGTGGTGGCTCCAGAGCTGGATGCAGGACTGCAGGCAGGGTGCCACGAGAGTGGAGCAGAGAGGGAAAATCACCTCCCTCAACCTGCTGGTCACACTCCTTTTGGTGCTGCGCAGCATAGGTTTAGTTTCTGGGTTGCAGGTGCATGATGCCTGGTCATGTTAACCTTTTTGTCAGCCAACATCCCCAAGTCCTTCTTCTCAAGGCTCCTATTATTACAATCTCTGCCCAGCCTTTTAGAATTCTCTGGAGACTTCCAATGTCCCAGTGCAGTCCAAAAGTATCTCAAAAGCCTAGAAATTTTAACTTTGGATCTGGAGTGTATGCTTTAGCAGTGAATTGAATCTAGGGGGTTCTTTTGGTGGAAATAAGCCAATAATACTCTGAGGCTTCACTGAATCTGTCTTGGGTGGTTCTCCTCTTCTCTTCTTGTTTTCTTGAAGCTCACTGCTGCTTTTTGCAGCATTGACAGAGGGAGAAACAACTAGTGAGGACAACAGGTTGCAATTAAACGAAGCTGATCAGAGAGCTGACTAGTATGATGCATTCTATTTACAGAAATCTCTGGTTATGGCAGCATGGGACACTCCTGTCAGACCGTTCAGAATATATACCACTCACTGCACCTTAGTGGTGGTGGTTTGGGTGTTTCTGCAAATAAATGGAATTTTTCAGAATTCTTACAGATATGCTCAGGATTGGTTTTCAGTAAAGAGGTATTTTTGTTATTTAGTTTGTTCCCAGAGAAGTGGCCAACTTTTCAAGCAATCTGTGTTGGCAGTAGTATTACAAAATGCAAAAAACAGAAGTCTCTGGGTAGTTAACTTCTAAATTATTGCCATCAGGAAGAAGAGCACTGGGTCAAGAGCTTAGCGGGAGCCAGCGTGCTACACTGAGCTATATGAACTTGTAGCCATCACAGTGAGTGAATAAAGAAGTCAGTAGTTACAAGGGACACACACAGATACTTCTTGGAGTATAATCTGTAGCATGCTAAGAGAAGAAACCACCCGTACGATGGCTGTTCTGTAACTGCGCACAACTGTGTAATGTCTCCATCTCACATGGGGAATGCTTACCAGATCACAGGTTTCCCCAGTAGGATAGACTTGTTCCTGGATCTCTCCTCTTTGCTGCAGCAAACTCGGGTCACTGATGTATAATGTTTACAGTCATCTTATTTATGTGTTGTCCAACAGGTACACCCAGACTACAAGGAAACAGAAATCCCTGTGGTAAGTTCACAAATGCCTACGTGCTTGCACTGGGCTGTGTTTTTGAGACTCTCCAGAAGTAATGTTCCTTTGAGTGCAGAAGATCATAGTGCTGAATAAACTTGGGTTGAAGGAAGCAATCTGTATGCTGCTCCTGAAGTACAGGGTTTAGTTATGTCATAAAGACCTTCACTTTTGCAGAGGTTGGGTATTGAAAGGTTTTGGGTCCCACTGGTAGGAGAAGGTATATTGTGGAGCATCTAGGTTGCTAATTGTTGTTTGATGGGAGTCCGACTGTGCAGTGCTTGGTTTCATCTTAGCAGTGAGTAACTTCCCAAGGGCATTCTAGAAAGCCTCTTGGGTTAATTACATGGGTGCTGTGCTAGCCAGGAACAGGGTATGGGGATGCAGAAGATGACCCTCACCTTAGCATCTGAGTTTTCCCCTTTAGGTAACACACCAAAATTTCCCAGTGTCTAAAGTGCCCAATAACACCAGCCGTGCAAAGTGGACGGGTGGCCCCGCTCCAGAGCTACAGCAGGCGCTCTCCGCTAGTGAGAGGCAGTGCATAGAGACAGTCGTAAACATGGGGTACTCACCTGAGAACGTCCTGAAAGCCATGAAGAAGAAGGGACAGAACATAGACCAGGTAAGAACTTGTACAGTGGGAAAGAAACCCTTGGTTGGATGCTGATTCTGCTGAGAAACAGCCTTGGGTTTGCAAAATGCATAGGAAGGAATATTTTGGTTCTAACAGGGAGCTGCAGCCCACAGCCACTTTGATGTTAACTGCTAGAGAAGTTGCCACCTAGCAGTAGAGGCTCTCAAAACAAGAGTATCTGTGCCTGTTTCTGATGGGAGACTGCTCAAGCCAGCAATACCTTTGGGGTGCTGGGCCAGACCTCTGCTGAGGTTGGGATGGGCACTTAGCTGCACATAAAGCTGGGAGAGGTACTGGCTCTTCCCAGCAGTCACAGAACCGTCCAAAGGAAGCTTAGTGCAGCTTTAAACCATGCTTGGTGCCATATGATAAAAGAGCAACCATCTTCCTTTGTTCTTATTACAAGGGGTTATGATGCTGACGTCTCTTCTTGCAGAGAGAGTGGCCCCTGCAGGCTTACAACAGCTCTTGGGAGGCACCACTGACTGACTTTCTCCTGCATGCCCTGGTTGTGGTGCTTCCTTCCACATGTGCTGCCTCAAACACTTGCTAAAACCAGGTCACAGAGCATAAAGAGCTGCAGGGTGAAGCGTGGCTCTGGGGCTTGGATCAGCTTCAAACAAACATCTTAAATCAGGGAGAGCATGGCCTCTTTAACTTCCCATGCTGGCCCTAGGTAGGGCCAAGACTGTGCCTGGGGAAGAGGGCTGGCCCCAGGGACTTCTGGTTGCAGAGCTGATGTGTTGCCTGATCTGCCTACACAGTGAAAGTGGTTTAATGTGTGCACTGGAATGAACTGTAGTATCAAATGGAATAAAAGGCCCTTAGGAGGGCGGTTTTAAATCCTGCCGTGTTTGCACACAGCATTACCAGTCTGACCTCAGAGCTGTAACCTGTACCTCAGAGCTGGGCACAGGTAAGAAATCTGGCAGCGGTTTCTGGGCACACGAGCTGGGATTTGCAGCTCACTCACCAGTGTGCTGAGTTGATCTTTAAAAGGCTGACTGCTTTCTGATTGCATCAGCTCTTGTGGCTGTCTGAGAGGAAGCTCAGAGCTTACACATCTTGATGGCTGGACCTACAGTTTCACTTTAAAAACTTGTAATATTAAAACCACAGTTAAATGTGTACCTTCTGCTCGGTGATCAGGCACGGAAGGCTAAAGATAGGCTTCTGAAGCTGCTGTGACTCAAGTGGAAGATGATATTCAGAGGTGGTGGGAGAACACAGGAGGACAGAAGGACTTTCCTGTTTTCTCTAAACAGGCTCTTGCATAAAGACCATCCCAACTCTACTAAGAAGGACTTTATCTTAGTCCCTGGTGAGGGCTGGGGTAGAGTTGTGCTCAGCCCCTCTGTATAGACATGGTATTCAACCATGTGCTGCAAATGCCACTCTGCAAATTTAGTTTCTTTTCTTTGTTCTCCACAGGTTCTGGACTACCTGTTTACACATGGACAGCTTTGTGAGAAGGGCTTTGACCCACTTCTTGTTGAAGCAGCTTTGGAAATGCATCAGTGTTCAGAGGAGAAGGTGAGGGCACAGTGTGCTAAGCCATAGAGAGAATGTACAGTGATGGGGAATTCCAGCAGCAGTTCCTCTGGCTGATGTAATTCTGGCTTTTGTGGTAATGCTGCTTTGTTTCCAAAACTGACTGCCAAAGGACATCTTTGTGATGATAAAGCAGATATGTGTTGAAGCATTAGAATTCTTCTGTATTGTTTTATTGCTCTCACTTGCATGCATTTTTATGGGGAATGGATGTTTTTTAAAGACCCTGTTTATTTCTGGGTGTATTTTTGAACCTAGAGTTCTCTTGTGTGCAGGGTGCTTGGTACAGAGACAGTTAACTTCAGAAGCAGCAAGTTATCTTTCAAACCCTGCCAGTATGCCCTGGCCATGGATTTTCTCCCTTGTATGAATGCGTCTGCCAGGCTGCTCAGCAAATTGGGTTAGGGCTTGCTCTGGAAGCTAGGAAATCTGTTTCTTGGATCTGGTTCATTGTTTGGCTGTTTTATCGGCACCAAAAGTACAGAGACACGAGCAGGTAGCCAGGAAAGAGGACAACAGGATCTTTTAAACAACCTGCATGCTTTAGAGGTGCAGCCCACTCCCACCATCCGCACCATATGTATATGCAGTCCTGCCTTTATTTGACTTAGTGATGTTTGCAAACAGAGGAACAACGGTGCAGATATGGGAGAAGTGACTGATTTCAGGAAATACATTTGCTACTGGCTTAACCCTAAATTTGGGAATAGCCAACCTCCTGATCACCCATTTCAACCTGCTTGCTTCTTTTTGTGGGTTTTTTCTTTCAAGTGCAGCTGAGGCCCTGTAAATGGCAGAGGGTTCGTGAAAGTCTGATCAGCTCACCCACTTGTGGTTGCTTAATTTTTCCAAAGCTCATGGAGGATTCATGATTGATGACAACGTGTCCTATAGGGTTTGTGCTAATCCCCCAAGTGTGCCCTAGCTCTGAGAAGCCTTTTGATAGCGAGAGAGACTGTACTGTTTCTGAAATCAAAGTAACTTAAAAAGAAGTTCAGGTACAGCAGGATGGTGGATGGGGAGCAGGGTGCCATTAATCACCATTTTTGGGAGCCCAAATTGAGCCAGGCCGGTAAATTTCCTACTGCGGAGAGAAAACACTGGGAGAGAGACCCCCACAGGCTGAGCTTTGGTCCTGTTGCCGAAGAGGGTTTTGGAAATGCAGGGCTGCAAACACAGGTGAGGCTCTGTGGGCTCTAATGTGGGTGACTTTGTCCCAAGGGAGCCAGAACAGGCTGTACTTGGGAAACAGGCATCCACTGCATGGGGTGCCCAAGTCGCTGAAGACAGGCTCTGTGCTAAACCTCCACCGAGCACCGATCATCCTCTTTCCCCTTGCAAATAATGGACTGTCTGTCTTTCAGATCACAGAACTCCTCCAGCTAATGAGTCAATTTAAAGAAATGGGCTTTGAACTAAAAGACATTAAGGAGGTCTTATTATTACATAACAACGACCAACACAACGCTTTGGAAGATCTAATGGCTCGCGCAGGAGCCAGCTGAAAACACATTCCTGGATTCTTGGCGTGCAGCGGAGCAGGGCCAGCCCTGCCACCTCCACATCCAGTGTGACTTGCTCTCTGCAGGAGGGAGCCTGGCTTTTCACATGCAGGGGAGAGTGACTGAGCAAGCCCGCCCGCGTGCATCACTCTAGCATTTCTCTTTCCACTGAAAGCCAACTTTCTTTCTTAAATTAAATTTTTAAAGTGTCCTTTCCTAAGTTTCCTTTTTCCAGCTTGGCCACGGAGAGTTTAGACTGCCCAGCCTCTACTGGAATTGTATGTAGGTAGAGACAGGAGTGGTTTCCTCCCCTCACTGTTGCACTGGAGTTGGACAGAAGAGCTACTAAGTTGGTTCTGAAACTAGGATGCTTTGGTTCTTTGAAGCTGCTTTCATGGTGTCTTGTCTGCTTGTACTGAATTACTTGACTGTGTCACAGTCCAGATTAACTGAGTAAATTTGACCTTTAGTGCAATGGAGTTTTATTTTTTTGGTCAAAAGTTAGTATGTAAGTTAGTAAAACACTGGTTCAGAAGCTGTCGCTATGCATAAAGAGAGAAGCAGTTCCTCTTGTGGGTTTTCTTTGGTTTGGTTTGGTTTTATTTTTACCCATGCATCCAGCACTTCTGCCAATACTGAGTGGTGTGTAAGTTCTCTTGCAACAGGTAAGCTGTGAACTCTGCCTGGATCTGCAGCTTGTGTTGGTTCTTGAACCTGAAGGCAGAGAGCTGGGGCTCAGTATTCTTAATCCCCCAGGCTTGTAGGCTATTTAAGACAATGCCCTGCTAGGATATCAGTTAACTTTTCATTTTACATATTACTCAGTGTGATGCAGGAAGTTTCTTTCAAGCACTTTCTTTAAAACAAATATACTCACTGCATTAGTTCCATTTCTCACACTGCTATAGAATTACATTATAACATCTAGTACTAGAAACCAAGTTTTGGGTTGTTTTTGATAGCTCAGACTATTAAGTTGTACATTGTTCAAGTTCTACATACATCAAGTATCAGCAGTCTTGAGGAATCTTTAAAGTAATTTGCTAAATATTTTGACTCTGCAGAAGAACAACTAATAAAGCCCTCAAATATGACTCCCAGTGTCATGGTTCCCGTCTCTCATGCAAATTGACTTCAGCAGATGAAGAACTTGCTGGATCCTGCCTGCTCCTGTAGGCACACATGAATTGTCCATGTCAGGAAGAGCAAGGAGGTCTCTGGACAAGCAGCTGCAGTGATGGAATGTGCTGCTTTTTCCTGTGGCTTATTTTTGTGTTGTTTCAAAAACCAAATCTTGGGATCCAAACTCATGTTACAGCATGGAGCTGGGAGCATTGGACTTCAGAGGGGAAGACTGCTTGGCTCGTTGCCTGAGTACGTGTTTCATTAGGAGGTTTTTGGCTCGTCAGGACTCTGAAGGAGACATTAAGTTGTTAAACTTTATATGACCAAAACATCTAATCCAAGTCCAGTGTTAACTCCTGGAATTCCCTGTGGGGTGCTCAACTATGGTAATTACATTACTTAAAATGATGGTGAGGAGACATGTAGCTGGCCAGTATGTAGGAGATGTGGAGGTGGATCATGAGTACGACCGTGGCACATTGCCTTGCATCATATCCTGTCATGTTCAGCCTCACCAGTTTATAGCGGTGGGGCTGAAGTTAAAACTTGTCTGAGAAGGACATTCTGCATCTGAAGGCTGGAGGCATGTTTCTGGGCAACCTCTCACAGAAGTGAAGACCACGGAGTATGGGGATTAACATGGTGATTTAGGGGAGAGGCACTTCTGAAGAACCATGTAACAAGTGACACAATGTGATGAGACTTCAGTGTTGTTCTGGGTGCTGGGGATCAATAGTTACTATAGGACTGTAGCTTCTTATGTCAGATTGATTTATGTACCTGATTTACGTACCTGGCACTGTTTTGACTTTATCAGAGGCTGCTCTGCTGCCTTGTGCTAGCTGCTGCCATGTACCAAGGCCTGGATACCTCGATGGAAAGGCTTGTCCAGAAGTATGGATGCAGAGCCGAAATCTGTGGTTGTCCGTTGAGCCATCGACTCCTGAAGCTGCCTCCTGACAGTTCTGGAGAGCAGCAGCTTGGCAGGGACTCTGAGCTGAGGGCTCCCACTCTGCCCACTGGGATAAAAAGTGCTCCTGTGCTCATTGCCTTGTTTTGAGGGTGACGCTGTGGGAGCCCTGAGGCTTTCTTCAGTGGGCCTCATGGCTCTTCCAGTGGCTTGGCTCTGCTGGAGCACCCCAGGGCCTGCATCATCAGCTCTGCTGCACGGTGTGTGGCAGGGCAACTTTCTATGCTGGGCAGGACAGTGCATTCTGCTGGTGGTGCAGCAAAACCTGGTGCAAGGGTTGGCCTCACGTGCCTGAAGGACAGCTTGCGAAACACCAGCCCTGTCAACAGGCCAGGTGTGAAGGGGATCTCTACCCATTCCCAGCCCCAGTTAATCTTTATGTAATCAATCAAACTGGCATTTTGATCACATTTACTATAAAATTCTACCAGAGTTCTGTAGCAAATTGAATTTTATTTTAAATAATGTCAATTATTCAAATAAAATATCAAGCATCTGCCATGAGCTTTAATTGTCTTTATTGCACCTGAAAACAGAATTGAAACCACTTCAGTTCTGTGTTTGTTTGTATGTGGCCAGGCTCTTTTAATCCCCTAGGCTGATGTAATGACAATTTCAGCTATGTTCCTCAGGTTGAAACAAAAGCCATTTGTATCAGGTGCGAGACCAATATCAAAGAGCAGGAAGGGGATGACACTTCAGAAATGCTCATTTAGCACATGTTCACATAAGAGTTAAAGCAGCATCTAGGTAATAACCTGAAGACTGGAGAGAAAAACATCACCCTTTTTGGTAATAGCTGTAGTAGTTTCCATTGCATACTGGGAACCCAGTTTCAGTATTGCCTGGGTATGCAGGCAATGTCTGCAGTCCTGTTATTGCCAAGGATGGTGGATTTTCACAATGGAGGCTGTTTTATTATTTTCATTTTTTAGTTAAATCATCTCGCATGCAGTAGAGAAAATAAAGAACAGTGATAATAGAATCTTAACAAGATACAAACTACTGGTTAAAAAATGGTGTCAGGACTTGAAAAACTGCTTTGTTCTTTTGTCTCTCAGCATTCCTGGCCGTTCCTCCAGGGAGTGATTAGCTCCTGCTCTGGGAGCTTGCACTGGGGCTCACATCTGCCAAAGGGACTTGCCTTTCTCCCAAGAGGCTGGGTAGGAATCTGGTGGCTTATATTTGGTAGCTGACTTAACTCACATCTCTGCTCATGGAAATTTTTGGTCACTCGTGTCTTGTTACAAGTACCTCTCAATATGCAGCAGCCAGGACATGGCACTGTGGGGTGTGTGAATAGGCCTTTAGAAAGGGCCAGCTTGGATGAGAGGCTCAATGTACTTTGCTGAGTGGCTCTTTAAAAAACTGAAACTACAATCAACCAATACTAAATCTCCCAAAATGTCAGAGTATGCGGAAGGAAAGTTTTCCTCCCTAGCACTGCATTACTGGCTGGGCATCTCCTTTCTCTGTGACCTGTGCACATGTCCTACAGTCTGATGTTTTTTCAGCTCCAAATGAAGGTGCAGAGCTCCTCGGCAGCCCTATTTTCTGTGTGCTTGCTGAGAAAGTAGGGAAACCACTTGCAAGTGCTCACATCCATTTATTCTTTCCGTGGGGACAAGGACTACCCAGCTGCTACATGTTCTCACCTTACTCACAGGAAAGCTCTCCCTGACCCCAGCAGGTGGAGGGAGGCTTCTTAAAGGTTGGTTATTTTAAAGGGAAGCTTATTTTAATGCCTACTCTTTCCCCCATGGTTTTAACAAGACAGTGGGTGTCCTGCTGCTTTGTAGCTTTCTGGTGGCTGGCAAGCACAAACACTGAAGTACCACTGACACCAGCATTTTCTCCTGGAAGCCTGATTTCTCTGGGTGAGGAAGTATTCTGTAACAGGCACTGGAGACCTGGGTTTGGGTGTGAGTGAAGTGCTACTGGCCTGGACACGGGAACCATCTTGAGATCCATAAACTCAGACCCAAAAGGATGTCTGCTCTACAGAGTAATCAGTCCCAGTTACAAGTTGGAGACCAACCTGTGCTAAAAGAGCCCCAGCCAACAGTCAGGGTACTAATGTAGGACTTGAGTCTTCTGTTAAAAGTCCTCTCCTTGCACTGTTGTGCCCCAGGGCTGAGTGACATTCCTGGGAGTGTGTGCACCAAATGCACAACCCAGATAACTGTTGCTGCTTGGCCAAACGTGGGCTCCTCAGGGTAGCTGTAGAAGCAGGCAGTGACATTCACAGCCGGTCAGACACCAGTGTTCCCTTACCCTTGGCATTTCTAGCTACTGAGCCAGCTTCAAGCTACAACCCGCATCACTGAGGAAACAGAGATGGCTGAATGTGCTATGACAGCCCTAATTTTGGAGTGGGAGTGCTTACACAGCACATTGTCAGGGGGGGCACGATTCAAAGTCACTTGTGGCTTCAGCAGGTGGACTTGTTCTGTGGTTCTGATGTGACTGCAGAGAGCACCAGAGCTTTTGCAGGGCTCCAGTTGATCATTCCATAGTTCTTGATTCAGATGCCAGCTTCACATAACAGCAGTGTTGGCAGCTTCTGAAAGCCCAGTGCCTCTCACCAGACCCCAGCCAGTGAGCACTCTACAGCTGTGCTGTAGTTTGCAGCGGGTACAGTTGGCAGCAGTATGAACCCACATGCTTATTAACATGCTAGATGAACCTTTGATAAAAAGTCCCTAGTAAATCACTTGTTACTCCTGACTTCAGCCAACCAGAGTTCAGGAGCTCTGGAGTGTTTTTACTCAGCAAAGAACAACTGCAACAATAGCCTTTTGTCTTCTGAAAGTGACAGCACTTCTCCTGCCTTGATTTCCATTTACTTACGGTCTAGTTACATTTGTGTACTTAATAAACAGTGGCTCCTCTTCCCTGGCTTATGTTTGCAAACACTGTTCTGGATAACATTTGAGCATTTCTCTTCAGACCTGTGTCTGGCCTCATTTTCTTGAAAACACGGAAATGCCTTTAGCATGTGCAAAGCTGCTATGAATACTGTGGACAGGGCTGCCTGCTGCTTGGTGAGATACTTAGAGCCTGATGCATTGCTGCTCTTAAGAAAATGGCTTACTGGTATTAAGGAAATACAAAAGCTTGTGGTGCCAAGTAGTCATCTCTCATTTACTCAGCATTCTCTCCATCCTTATGTAAAATACACACTAATCAATAAACATCAAACCAAAAGCTATCCCCTACCCACTCAAAACTCTGCAGCACAAGTGTGGTCAAATACTAGCTGGCTGCTTCTGTAGCTGTTCTTGTGCACATGCAAGCAAAGACAGTTTAAACTGGTGGAGGTGATTGCAAGGAGGTGTTAGTGCCAGGAGAGGCTAAATAGAGCTGAAGCTGGTCTCGCATTGTTTGTATACACTTTGACTTCAGTATCAAGACTTCGTCCAGCTTGGTCATGAAGTTCTGAAAATCCTGATGAGGAAGGCAAAAAGAAAGTTTAGGGAGGAGCAGGAGCAGCACGTTGGTGGAAAAGCAGCATATTTTATGCACTGTAGCAGTACCTAAAAGCGTGTTTTCCATTTTGCAGTGTAGTAGATTAAATTGGCATTTCCTTATTGAATTCTTGACCCTCACAGACCCAGACCAATGCCTCTAAATACTGAGGTTTACTTACACTTGTAATTTTATCTATCTGTTGGGGAACTTACAGCTAATATGACGCTTTAAAACCAAAAATGTATAAAGCGCCTTCTACACCAGTTAGCTTTACAAAGGTTAGGGACTGGTCTGATGTGTTTTACATCATGCTGAGCTCTGTTCCTGACACCTCTCATGTGGGATCTAGCAGTCATGAAAATAAATGGTGAGCTGGGCCACTAACTGATCAGACATAATAGCCCAAGAATAGTCCATTCTTGGGAGATGGAAGGGATTATTTCACATAAGGTCACAGGTCCAACTCCTGCGTGGCTACAGAACTGCTAGATCTGACATGAGAAGTATGAGCAGTGTCTATAGCCTCTACCTTCCACAGCAACCTGCCACGTGGATAAAAAAAATGTGAAACTGATTAAAACTGAAATGGAGGCAATTATTTGGGTAGGACTTGTATTAATAAGGGTACATTCAGACCTGTTCTGCTCTCCAGGTAAGAGCAGTGTTTGGTGCCTCTGTTCAGAGATCAGTGTCTAAGGAGCTGGGAGGTGTCAGCATCCTCAGAGCCAGGGATTTCAACTGCTACCATTTGGAAATCAGTCATTGAAAAGCTTATTTGGCAGGACTCCATGGACTCCAGTTATCTCCTGCACTCCATCTTTGTCTAGCAGGGACATCAGGACTGTAATGTCCAGCCCAGCTGCCCTGCTTTTCTGAAGCACTTTAAATCCTGCTTAGTTGAGTATTTGGATGGTCTGCGGCCAGATTTTCATGGCTGGAGAAATCAGAACCATCTGAAAGTGGAAGGAGAGAAACTAATAATGGGAAGTCCAAGGTGATTTCACTACCCAAGGAAAGGTCATGCTGTGAAACAGCACTACAGGATGCAAGGTATTTACACAGTGCTGGGAGGCCTGGCAAGCTTGTCATTATTCTGCTAAGTAGAAAGTGATTGCTTGCAGCATGGGGCAAATAAACGGAGGTCAGAGGGGGAAAGCTGGTTGGTGTCCAGTGAGCAACAGACTTAGGAAGAACAACCTTAAAAGACTTAAAAAGAAATAGACAAAAATACAAGCTTCCTTTATACCATTGCATTGTCTGCCACAAAACTGATACCGTTTTTGCCTCTTGTGCTGCTTTGTGAACTTTCAGGTGTTACTCTGGTGACACATCACATGCAGCTGGAAATCACACAAATAAGCCACATGGTGGCTCCATTCTGAAATACATCTGAAGTGCAGCTGCATTTCAGATGTGAGCTGCGATAGGAAGTGAAATGGTTTGATAACGTAACACGGTAATGGAGCTTAGCTTTATTGATGAGGGAAGTGGTAAGGCAGGAGGTGCTTACTGGGAAATGTTAACAGTCTGGGTGAATGGGAGTTCTCACAGAGCTGCACCTATGGGATGCAGGAGAAGCAGAGAACTGGGATTGCCTGTCCAGCAGTGGGCTATGCAGGTGTAGCCTGCACTACTGTTATCTGAGACAAGGATCAGCCAACATGTGAGTGACAAAAGTGAAGAGCCTGTGTGAGTGGGGCCATCTGCAGCATGGTAAGCAAATGAGGGACTCTCAGAAGGAAGAGGCAATGTGGCTCTACACCACCAACTGTGACATCCCAGCATCATGCCTTAGGGGTGTGCTGTTTTCTCTAGTATTGACTTACTTGCTCCAGCCTGTAAGAGAAAAACATCACAGGGGAGGACGCCCTGTTTGGTACAGTCTGGTACCCATGATGCAAGATAAGAGAAAGCTGTCTGATCAGGCACAAGTGGTTCAGAGTTGGCCCATCAGTCTCCCAAGGACCTGGCAGTGTGGAGACTGGCAAAGACACAACAGGCACTGAAAATGAGCCGCCACAGGGAGGC